CTGGATACAAGCTTCACTATCATAAAATCAAAACATTAAGCAATAATCCCAAAAGGCTTATTCAGACAAAACTAGCCACCAATAACACAAAAATTACACAGCAACACAAAGCATAAAAAACTGTAAACTTTCGAATGAAGCTAAGCCAAAAATATGGTTTTACGCTGTGACAGTTCCAGAATCTTTATTATGCCACATATGAGGATAAAGGCTTAGTGGTTACACTGGCTTATTGTCCTTTAACCGTAAAATAATCTTGTTGCCGAAGGAAAGAACAAACTCTCCTTTTGTCCAGGTAAGTCACTTGAATTCAAGATTCCATTAACCCCATGCTTTGAGTTTCAAATTAAAAAAAATACTGGAATATCAGTATTCAAAAATCCTTCCTGAGGCTCCTTCCTTCAGCCTCACTTAACTGTTCACATGAATGATCCCGCTGGTTTCTGTGGAACCATCCAGGTTATCAGTAAAGTTACCAATATAAGCATTCATAGAACTGGACAGTTAGTTCCTACCGTACCACTGGGATCTGGACTGGTCACTGTGGATTTGACAGATTTCCAAGAATCCCCAAGGATGACCAAACATGGATCAAATAGCAGGACCAGAGCTTTAATTTGTATGTAAATAAAGCATAACTCCACAGTAAAACATTCCTGTTGACTTCCCACAAGATGCAAGTTCCTAGAAAATGTTTGTACTGACTGCAAGTTCTGTTTAAAGCAGAGATTGAAGTACTGATCCATGTTCGTTAATGTTGCTCTCTCTGCAATCTTTTACTTCAACAACAGATCTCAAAACCTTAGTTAGTTATTTTACACAGAGATTCTAGTATATGGGACAATTTTTCCCTGTTGTCAAATTTAGGCAGACTAACTAAACTGTAGGTCGTATTAAAATTTCCAGTGAAACACTCAAACTGAAGTGACTATCTGAGGAAATACAAAAACTTGTTTTTTCCGTGTAGTCAAGCCTTTTGTACAAAATGCATTTTAAGTACTTACTAAGATTAATCTCGCTGATGTACAGACTTGTTGGTGTTTTCCTATTATATTTAGCTCAATGGTAAGATGCATAATGCTGTAAAATAGGCTAGTTGTATAGTTATATTTATCATCCAGTAGAAAAAAAACCCTCTCAATGAATCTCAACTGTGTTGTTATAAAGACAGGAAGAGCCAGATAAGCTTTCAGAAGCTCATAGCCTATTGGAAAAAATAGCACCATCACAGTTGTAGTCTGATATTTTTTATGGTCCCATATCCCCAGAGGTGATAGTGTGGTGTATGCTACTGCACAACCGAAAAGAATAAATATTCCCAGGTTTGATGGTACACAGATATACCAGACATCATAATGGCACAAAACATTTTCAGATAGGCTGCAAGTCTTGCCGATTGCTTCCACAATTCACATTAAGGTTTCTTCCAAGATCATTTATTTTAAAATATTGCTGACAGATAGTTCTTGTACTTACATAAATTTCAATCCCACACTCCACTCTTAAAATAAAAAAGTAACAAATCACCTCCAGCACCCCAAATAATAGCCACAAATAAAACCCCATTTGAACAAGTGAGAAAAGCCATCTACATTCCTTTTATAATTTAATGGTAAGTAGATGCTACATTTACAATTTAAACATATGCCTAATATATGCAGGTTTAAAACCTATTGCACAAAAGCGTAAGTTATGCTCTTTATCCATACAAAACAAAAACATATAAATAAAAGCTACTCAAACTCAATGTAAAAGGAAGAAGCTTGTAAAAACATCTTACAATTTCATTTTATATGCCCGTAAATAAAGCTGGACCACTGAAACAAAAAATACTTGGATGGTAAAATAAGACAGAAGGCTTAAAATAGAATAAATAATTTTATAAAGTTAAAGTTTTAAACCCCAAATCTCATTTAAATTTGATATTATATATTCTATCTGAATTCTCTATTTTTAATGAAACTATATTTAATGAGACTCTGATTCTGGGTGATTTATCAGTCTCATTGCTGCTGAGGATAATGCAATAATACTTGGATGGTAAAATAAGACAGAAGGCTTAAAATAGAATAAATAATTTTATAAAGTTAAAGTTTTAAACCCCAAATCTCATTTAAATTTGATATTATATATTCTATCTGAATTCTCTATTTTTAATGAAACTATATTTAATGAGACTCTGATTCTGGGTGATTTATCAGTCTCATTGCTGCTGAGGATAATGCAATAAGATACTTCTCTACTGCAATTATTTACCAGCATAAGCAATTGTGAAAACGACTTCACAGTAATGGCATCTTCACGAAAGCCAGAATAAACTAACATGATCTCACGAGGACCAAGAGATATCTATGCAGAGTCCAACTTTTAGTCCAACTTTGAACAGTATCAGGGTTATTTTACCCAATATTGGGTATTATATCTTGATATCTTGATATAAATTAACTACCTCTGAGGCTTCACAGAAGTGAAACAAGGCTCTGACCCAAAGGAGACCTCTCTCTGACCTAAATTCAATTGCATTGTAGTCTTTTAGTAAGGCTAAAGGAAATAACTATATATGGTCTGGACACAGTTACACCCCTCC